CTCTCTCTCTCGTCTCTCTCTCTCTCTCTCTCTCTCTCTCTCTCTCTCTCTCTCTCTCTCTCTCTCTCTCTCTCTCTTTCTCTCTCTCCCTCCCCTTTTCGCGCGCGCTCTCACCCTCAACGCCGATCCCCCTCTGTCTCTGGCTGTGTGCCGCCACCTACAACCATTCCACCCTTCCGCCGTATCTTCCCCCTATATACCGGTCCATATACAGCACCACCACCATCATCACCATCACTACTACCACCACTACCACTACCGGCAGCCGTCGCTTTTGCTCTCGAACTCGATAAGGGGCGCGAGCGCGCTTGCGTCCTCTGACAGCGTAGTGACGCGTGGAGCCGCTATCCTACGATTTTACCAACTACCCTTGCTACCGGCCTTGCTAGCTGCCACCTAGCGAACTTTCCTCGTCTTCCTTTACTCTCCTCCATTCCATTCGGCTCCATTTTGGCTCATTATCGCTTTTTATATCACGACGAATTTCGCAAGTTTCACTTTTAACATCTTTAACGAAATATCATATACAGATACAAAAAGCACTAATACTGTTGTTAAAGGGAAGCAATTTTTGTTTTACTTCTTTTGTTAACACTGTACAATATTCTGTCGTTTTATCTATTAATAGACATTTTAAATAATTTACATGTTGTACTCATCAGGTATATAATGTAAAATAGTATTTCGAATCGCTAACGAATTAATCGTTGCGTTGAACCGTTTTCCATTTGCTTGGATACGTAATACGATACAATTAGCCAAGTGGCTAGCGCATGTGGTTTACCCTCATCCTTGAAACAACCGCGAAGATCACGTTCTCGGAAATATTATAGATACTCGCTAAGACAATAAGCACGCACTAAGTTACTAATCCAACTAAAACTTCGCCGGCAGTTTCATGAGTTTCAGCCGCTAGTGGGCTTTCTTAGATTCGATTCGCGTGCCGAGGTTACGGAGGTGCAAAGATGCAGTTCTCACGGAATAAGGTGAAAGGTCAGATAATATCTCTCCGCACGTATCCCGTATACTCTTCAGCGTTACGTTATTATATTATATGATATATTATATGTTTTCTTGAACTTTGTGAAATTATTTTATCATTCTCTCAAAGGCTAAAAGTTAAAGCCTTTTTTTTTTGCTGAAATTACAAAATGCATAGCCACTGATATCGTATTACATCACGATGTATGTAATGTAATCATCTTTTTTTTTTTCTTCCAAGATCTTTTTTAATATTTTTTTGAATATCTTTTGCAAATATTCTATTTCTATCATTTTTTTTTATAATCATAACTACTTATATCTGATTACATCCGATATTTATATATTTCTAATGAAAGAGTCAAGATACATATTTATATAATGTATATATATATATATATATATATATATATATATATATATATATATATATGTATTATATATGTATGTATGGTTTCTGTGATATTCAGCATGCGTGCAAGTATCTAGCGTCTAGTCCACTGAGAACACGAATGTGTTTTCGGTTTCCATAAATTCGTATCTCTCTATCTGTAATCCCTGCGGCACCACCGTATTACTTGCTGGACCTAGTCGAGCAATCGAACCGCAATGATCTCGGTGTAGCCTCGGCGTTTTCGATATACTATATCGATCACTAACACCGTTACCATTACCGTGGGGTTAAATGCCTGAGCCGCCGGACTTAAAGAGAGATTTCCACGGTGCCCGATGAAATGGCAGCCGTGACTATCGTAGGATATCAGCGCGAGAGAAGCACAAAAGCTAAAAGCGGTTATCTGCTTGACCTCGCGAAAATCCGCAGATAAATCATCGATTAAAGAAGATCTTCCGGAACGGAATAACAATCGTCGTTTGTCTCTGAGAAAATTTTACGGTTCGTTTTATAGACCGGATTTGAAATAAACGTGTCGGGCGTACAAAAATACGTCACAGATTTAAGTTCGTGACATCAAAGATATATAAATATTATATACTTTAGGAATAGAACTCGTTATATTGTAATATAATTTATGCGGTTAGACTACGAAAAACAAACATGTAACAAACAGACCGCGCTATTTTAATGCGATACTTTAAAAATTATATATGAGATAAATATTGGAAGCGTAAATAAAATCTATTTTGTTGATTAATTATTATAAATTGTAATTATTATAATTGTAACGTTAATAGCGATCTTTATCATGTCTCGATAAAAATATTTTTGTATAGATTCAACTTGTAAATAGTATATTCCACATTATCGGATATTAAAATTGTCGGATGAAAGAAGTTTTTAATTGTATAAAAGCGTGTTGTTTCTCGTTTGCGTATGTAAATGAATCATTACGTGCGCCAACATTGACCTCTACACATACTCATGTTCGATTAAGTACTCTGTAAATTGACCTGAAAAATCCACGTCACTTCGGTGCCGGTAGTTGCACGCGATGATTTAATCGCTCTAAGCGGCTATAGAATATCGATGGGGCGACATTTGCGATGCGACAATTTCACCGAATACCAGAAATTTCCGACTTTCCAGAGTGGTTGATACGTCGCATTCGAGAGGTACGAGAGTAAACATTGCGATCATGCAGTCAGTCCAATACTTTTTCAACGATTTCACGAAGCACTCTATCTGATGCGCCCTGGGACATTCAAACTTCTTCGCTCATTTAAGTATTACCGTATTTCTGCGCAATTTTTTTATTGCAAACTCCCTGATATTTCAAAATATTCAATGTACTTGCATTTCAAGCGTATCGAAAACCGATTTGATCTTCCCGGTTAAAAATCGAACAATGGGTACATTTGCGGTACAATGGAGTGTAACTTGCAACAAATAATTGCGAATTTGCGGTGCAGATTATATTATTAATTAGATTGAGTGTTAAATTATAAACAAAAATATCAAAACAAAAATATATTCGCTATTAAAAATGTTACATATAAACTTATTCTTTTCAAACATATTTCCATTTTAGAACTTAATTATAATTACTTTTTGCACGGTTCAATAATAATGAAATTTGAGAGATAAATGTAAGTATGGGATAAGAACTTGTTTTTGTTGCAACAAAATTGCACTTGATACTATATACGTGTTATGTTTTATCTATGTGGTGTCGCTCGAATTTTTTGCGCCAGATTACATACGTTTCTCGTTTTTGTCTACACCACTCCTATAACGAACATTAGCTACGTGAGACATAGAATTAACAATCCGTATCTCTAAAACGTATTTCGCGTGTTCGTCGTGTGCGTGTCATTTTACGCGGAAGGGCTTGATTGCTGGGTGTAAGTGGACATCCAGTATGCGGTAGAGGACGGTCGGAACGGTAGAAGGAAGCGGCGCGCTTGATAAGGGAAATCTTCTTTCGAGCCTGCGGTGCCGACCGACATGTAATTTCCCCGGAATAGAGGACGGAATCCTGGCTCGGATACTACTGCCCGCACGGGTTACAAAGTTACTTTTACGAGAGTAGTGGGCAAATGTAAATGGGGGGCCGGTGAACGGCGACATGGCGTAAGCGAGCAAGCGAGAGAAATGAGCGAGAGACCGAAAAGGGAAAATGAGAGAAAGAGTGGAAGGAACGTGGGGGCGATGTGGGAGGGGGGGGGGGACGAGCGGTGAAAGGAGGACGAAGGAGTGCAGGAATAAAGGGGATGAGACTGTCGGAGTTTGTAATTGCAGCGGCTTTAACGCGCTGCTGATGGCCGATGGCACCCGGGACTGGGGTAATGGTCTGCACCAAATGTCTCTTCTTGTGAGAGAAGAGAGGAAGAGAGAGAGAGAGAGAGCGAGAGCGAGAGAGAAATGAGAGACGCGGGAAAGAGTATTCGAAGAGACACCGAGGGTGCCGGAGACACGTGGAGTCGCATCGTTTTCTTCGCCAACGATTTTGTGCGCTCATTCCTTTTCCTATTGACATTTCTTTCCTGCGGAATATTGCGAAATCTCGTAAATCAATAATTTTCGAAATAGGCGTACAAAATTTAAACTTGAAATTTCATTTTTATTTTACGATAAAAAGCACCTATTGACAGAGAGATGATTCTAAAGTAGTAAAAATTTAATATTGTCAAGAATTGTTTTCTTGCACATGAATATTTATTTTCTCTAAACTGTATTGATAATTGAATGTATATATATCATATTTTTATAAATATCTATTCTATTTATTTTGCGTCTTTGTTAAGCTGGAATATTTTTATTAATATATACGTTACATCGAAATTTAGTTACATAACTGTGTCGGTTATATAACTTGTTTATGCTGCGTTTGTTATTTTTCCAAAAATATTGTCGATTGCTAAATTTTTTCTTTACATTTAGCTGCTGTTATGATATAACAAAATAATAAAATTTTATCTATTTCTCGAATTGTTTATACACAAAACTTATTATTAAAGAAAATCTGTTTTATTTGTCCGAGGGAATTTTGAAATTATTTAATTTAATTATTTTAATTAATTTTATTTAAAGAGAAAATTATGGATAAAATCTTGAAAATATGGATAATCTTGAAAATTGAAAAAATTATTTTACTTTATTAACAGAAGAAATAATCAAATATGTAAAATGTGTAACGCATTTATTATTGTTATTTTTTACAGAACTTTTTTTATCAGTATAATACAATTTAGTAATGTATAAAATTTTGTTTATATGTTTCTTTTATTGTTGCAAGAGAAAATTTAATGTGCGAATACATTTATTCTTTCTGTGTATAAATTGATTTTCTTAATTGGAATTATTTTTTTTATAAATATTTAAAGTATTTGGTAGCAAATGAA